GTCTTGGGTCAGGGAGCCCCGCGGGCACTCCTCCCGCAGCCAGCCCCCTGGGGCAGGCGCCACCAAGAAACCCTGGGGTGAATGCCCAGAGCAGGAGCGAGGGGAACAAGGCAGCAGTCACCCAGCTTGTGAAGGTGTTATGCAAATGACATGCAGAGTACATGTAAATGACCACAGGTTATTGAGGAATCAGCCCTTCGAGGTTTGTTTCTGTTGTGTTTCGGGGGTAACTGGATCACAGTACTTGCTCTGAACCTTCTTTCTCTCTTGTGTCTCTGCCAGGTGGAAGGAAGTAACATTTCTGGTTGACTGACCAAACCATGCCTGGCTTGGTGAGGGGCCCAGCGGACACGTCACCCAGATGCCCGTGAAAGCCTAGCCAGGCTTGGTCAGCATTCCCCCTTGGGGCCCAGGGCCCCTTCACCTCTGACTGGCTCACCAGGGCAGGGAGCGAGGTGGGCCTCTGGCTGAGAGGTGACTCAGGCAGACCAGCAGGGAGCAGGGACAGGCAAGTCCCTGGAGCGGCCACTCCCCGCGGCCCGGCCTCCAGGACCCCAGCTTGGGACCGGCCCCCACAGGAGAAAGGTTCCTCGTTGTGGGCACCGGCGCGGCGCCCTGAGCGATGGGCAGCCGGCCTGTCAGCAGCCCAGCCGGGCAGGCTTCCAGCTGTGGACAGAGGCAAGGCTACCAGGGGCTCCCCTGCCCACTGGAGGGAAGGTGAGGAGGGAGGGAGCGCATGGGCTGAGCGGGCGGCAGGGGACACTGACAAAGCCCAGAGGAGAGCGATCACCGTGCCGACAGCCTTGAGGAAACCCCTCCATGAACCCTGCAGCTTCTTGGGCTGATTCCAGAAGCCCAGGGGCTCGCTGGTTACAGACATCGGTGGACAAGGCGGAGTTAGATCCTGTCTCCCCCTGACAGGACGTTTGGGCAAATTTCTGAACCTCCCTGAGCCTCAGACCTCAATTTATCTTTAAAAAAAAAAAAAGAGTCTTTAAAATAGGAATTTACAATAACATCTACTACTGAGAGGCTATGAGCATTAAGTGAGATAAAGCAGATAAAAACACAGCATCGTGCTAGTTCTTAGCACTCAGAGATAAAAACACAACTCGACTGTCCCAGGATCTCAAAACAGCACTGTCAGGAGCGACAACAAGGCAGAGCCACCGAGAGCTGGAAGAAACCTTGACATCCCGCATCCAGCCCCTTGTCTAACAGACGAGGGGAAGGGCTCAGAGAGGTTGAACAGCTTATCCAGGGCTGCACAGCTCGTCAGCAACAAAGCAAGGTTCAAACTCAGATCGTTCTGACTCCCAAACCCCCCAGATGCCCGTGAAAGCCTAGCCAGGCTTGGTCAGCATTCCCCCTTGGGGCCCAGGGCCCCTTCACCTCTGACTGGCTCACCAGGGCAGGGAGCGAGGTGGGCCTCTGGCTGAGAGGTGACTCAGGCAGACCAGCAGGGAGCAGGGACAGGCAAGTCCCTGGAGCGGCCACTCCCCGCGGCCCGGCCTCCAGGACCCCAGCTTGGGACCGGCCCCCACAGGAGAAAGGTTCCTCGTTGTGGGCACCGGCGCGGCGCCCTGAGCGATGGGCAGCCGGTCAGGGCTGCAGAGGAGAAGCACAGAGGTCCAGCCCCAGCAAAAGGGTGACCTAGAGGGTCCACCCCCGGAAGGCCTGCTGGAGGCTCCACCACGAGCTCTGCACTCTCGTGGGTTCAATCCACGCTTCCTGAGCTGGAGGCTCCACCACGAGCTCTGCACTCTCGTGGGTGGCAGGGGACACCTGAGGGCCTGTCCTGGGCCAGACCCCGAGCTCGGCTTTCTGGAGAAACAGCAGAAACAGACAGGAAGCCGGGCTGCCTCAGCCGCTGCCCCTGAGACGCTGACGACCCACCAAGGGAGCAAAGGCCAGAACAGATGTGACTTCACGGGACCTTGACGCCCCCTTAAAAGGGGGGGTGCTACTGTGTGAAAGGACGAGTGGGTGGGGCAGAGCTTCCCTGCTCAGCCCCTTTGAGCCACAGGTTAACAGTGACGCAACGACAAACACAGACCTACCCCTACCCCGTGCGGCTGGCGCACCACAGGTCAGACACAGGCTAAGAGCTTCCTGCCCTTCAGGCATCCCGGGAAGAGAGTCAAACACTCATGGCCCCTTTTATAGATGAGGAAACTGCAGCTTCGAGACCTCAGTGAGTGCCCTCCCGGTCACAGCTAGAGGCTCCCAGGAGGGCTGCCCGCAGGTCCATATGCTTAGCCTCCTGCTGTGCAGGGAGCAGCCTCCGCCCTAGAACACAGCCCCTCAGGGCCCCCGCTCCTCACTCCTCCAGGCCAGAGACAGAGGCTGCCCCCAGAGGGAGGGAGGGGCAGGCCTGCAGCCACCGCCACTCGGGCAAGTGGGGCACATTCCGCTGTCACATGGAGACCAGGCCTTTGATCACCTTCACACCCTCTCCAGACAGAGTCTGAGCCGCTTCCCACCTCTGCGCGTCTGCGTTTCCTGATGGAGGACACTGTGCTCGGCTCGCGGTCCCGCCACCCTGATGGGCAGGACCAGCCTCCCCTGCACAGCCACTGCACCCGGGACCACGGCAGCACCAAGGCCCTCCAGTGCCCACCGGCTGGGGCTCCGGCACGTCCCGGCCTCTCCCCCGAGCAGGGGTCTCGGCCCCACCTCCCCGGGATGCCTGGGGGCTGGGGAGGCAGGCAGAGCTGCTGGGTGTGGGGGAACCGGGAAGTCAGGGGCCGGGGAACCCAGGCTCCCTCCCAGGGGCAGCAGGACCCTCGGGGTGTCGGTGTTCCCTTCACCAGCTCCACTGGCGCTTCCCATAGGATCATGGTGAGAACGGGGGAAATGCTGCAGGAAAAAAAGCTTCCAAAGTTCCACGAATTGAACGCAAGCGGGAGATACGTGGGCGGCGAGGCCTGCCTGGGCAGACTGCCAAGTGAGGCCAGAGGCCCTCGTCCCAGATATGGGAGCAGGTGCCAGCGACGGCCAGAGCTCCTCGCTGCTGACCTGCCGGGCTGAGGGGGCCGCACGGGCGTCCCGGCAGGGCAGCCTGGCAGGGCGCCCAGGCACTGCCTGTGACGAGACTGTGGCCTGGAAGTCCTGGGCACGGGTCCCATGCGGACTCGACACCCACGTGAGGACGGCCACCGCCAGGCCACCCACCCTGGTGCTGCTGGACACAATGCGTGGGTCCCCCTGCTGTGACCCGCAGAGACCTGCAGGGGTTTGTGACGGAACAAGGACGTCAAGAGAAGGGGCCATTTCTCCCTCCTCCTGCCTGCAGCCGAGATCCCGGCAGTGGGAGTGGGGCAGAGGGACTCTGACTGCTCAGCTCCCAGGGCAGCCCGGAGGGTGGAGCCGGCGGGCACAGAGATGAGTGTCTCTGGGAAGGCTGCCCCGTCTGGCTCCTGGCGGGCACCCTCCGCACAGACGACCCCACCCCAGCAACCTGCTCCCCTTATGCTCCCCTGGGACTGGTGGGCTCAGCTCGTCCACCTAGCGCTCACCTTGACTGTCCTCCTAACCCCCACCCCAGGCTGGACAGCTGGCCGTGCCCTGAGAACAGCAGCAGCTTGGCTCAGGGCTCCTGGGCACTGCAGGTCCCATCCTCCAGCCACCAGCATCCTCCTGCCTCCACCACAGCTCAGCCCAGCACCCAGAGCAGGGCAGGAGGCCGCCTGGGGACTGGACACCTGGCCCAGAGGACTCTGGCTTACGGGGGTCTGTGTCCACCTTCTGTCCTCTCCAGAGGGCCCTCACACCACCCAGCATGGGTGTGGCCAGTACCCTCCACGGCTGGGGACTCACCGGAGCGGGATCTTGACGCGCAGGTAGCGGTCCACGGCGATGGCCAGCAGGGCCAGGATGGAGCTCTGGGTGAGGATGAGCACGGGGCAGGCGACCATGAGGCAGGTGTGGAAGTAGGTCTGCGGCCCGATGTTGATGAGGATGGCGAGCGGGATGACCAGGGCGCCCACGGCCACGTCAGCCACGGCCAGCGAGGCGATGAAGCAGAAGGTGGCGTCCCGCAGCGCCTGGTTCACACGCACGGCCCAGATCACCAGCACATTCCCCGGCACAGACACCAGGGCGATGAGCACCTCGATGCTGATGTAGGCGGCCTGGAAGGCCGAGACGGGCGGCATGGCGGGCAGAGGCCGGGCACATCGGCGAGGGGCACCTGTGGTCAGGAAGCTGGGGTGGGGAGGCTGTGGGTGGCAGGGGACACAGGGGACGGGGCTCCCTCCCCTTGGAGCTGTGCCCACTTGGCACAATGGTGCCCGCCGGGGCTAGTGAGACCCCGGCCCTCTCTCTGCCTGGTCTCTGTCCCTCCCCTTATCACCCCCGAGGTTTCATTCAGCAACTTGGGAGAGCAGCGCTCACTCCTCCCGCCCCACTGCACACGCCCCACCAGGTCCCCACGCCTGCCTCTGCCCACCGATGCCCCAGATCAGGGTGCCAGGAGCTCACCAGCCTGTCTGCTGGCCGCCAGGGGGGCCCAGAGGTGGTGCCCAAAGTTGGGGGCACCTGCTGCCGC